CCCATTGGCATGACATCTGAAAGAAAAGTAAAGTTCTGAAACTAGTTTTTGAATGTAGGTTTTAAAACACAAAATAAAATATGCATCTACATTGATGCGAATTTTTATTTTGCATGTTATGCAGAGAAGAATGCAGTAGGAGTTTTCAGGCTTGAGCTAATGGCAGTAAGAAGAGGCCTCCTGAAATACTAACGCACGTTATGAGAGTCTCCACCTTCATGCTTTAGGACGGCCTAGTAGGAAACCCATGCTAAGCTAGTGTCAGATAATTCAGTGATATTTGGTAATAAACAATTAAGCATGTTCCTGTTATATAATTCCATATAAGTTCATTGCAGAAGGTGTTGCAATATCAAGACAGAGAATACTTTGTATTTACCTCGTGAAAATATCTAGTTTAAGATTTTTTGCATTTGATTGTTTTATCATAATCAGCAAAAATACACAAAAGGTGTATTTTACTTCCTGAGCTGTTATGTTTTGGGATCATTAATTTAGTACCTAATACTGAGCAAAGTTGTGAGAGAAACATTCTAATATCGCAGAATTTTAACTGTTGAATTCTGTGCCACTAACATCAGACAGTATTCTCAGTGCAAAATTGGCAGTATCCTCAGGCAGTCCCACTGTCAAACAATTTATCATGTAATAAAACACTTAAAATAATAAACATTCACTTAAATCTACCTTTTACCTTTTATGTTTAGCTATTCATTTTCATAGGGAGCATCAGAAGACTTTTGTATTTTAGTTGCATGACTTTATTTGCCAGCTGTTTTCTGCTGTGTAGAAAGGGATTCTGAATTCTCAAATCAAGTTAGTCTTTTTTCCTCCTTCCTCTGATAATCTGCTCAGTCTTATAGGTTGACACATGTATTGTGTGAACATATAGCTTGGCCAGGCTACTTACTCCAAATTCCTTTTGATGGTTAAAGAAACAAATTCCTTGGCCTCTGAATAAATTATTATTCAGAGAGAATATTTGTATGAAAACTTACAAGAAAGAAGCGAATCCCCCTTAACATTTTGTAAGCTTCTTTGGACAGCTCATTTCAAACCCCAATACTGGTCTTCCTTCTGCTGCTTGAGTTTTCTGTGGGGTCAGCATCTCTCTGGGGTATCAGAATGGTTACTGCCTGTAGGAAGGGTTGACATTGCAGTGTTTTCAGTGCATTTAACAACCACTCATAAGAACGTGAGGTAGCCTTAATATAAACCTGGAATCTATGTGAACTTTGGTCTACAAACCATACCTGACTTTGATTTTTTTTTTTCTCCCTGTTTTAAGTAAAATTAAAAGTGTTACCCGAATAACCTCAGGCATTAGAGGGCTGAAGATAAGGAGCTAATCCTTTCTGGAATATTTGCAAGATTGGAATTATTAAAGCTTTTAGGCTTGATTATTTAAGAGTAGCTCAGTGTGTTGCTTTTAGTTTTCAAAATCTGTTCTGGCAATACAGAGAGGCCCCTAAGATGATGTTCCAAGGATGTTCAACTGCAATTGCCAGGCCAGGGCATAGTGGCCTGGTAGATTAGTAAAGTAGTGGATAGTGTATCCTTTCATAAGTGTCTTCAACTCTGGCAGACCAATGGAGATTACCTATTTTGAGGTTTCAGAATGCAGAGCTGTTAATGTCCCTTCTAGCCATTTGTGCATCTACATGAAGAATTTCCTTCTTTCCCCCCTATTGACTGTAGTCTCCAGCATTATGTAGTACCTGTCTCAGTCATGTTGAACCTCTACAGTCTGTTAGCAAAGTACAGCCACTCAGTCGGACAGTTTTCTTCTTCCTGACCGCTTGTTAGCTGTGGCAGAGCGCAGCTGCAGCCCAGCATTGGTGCAGGAAAGAGAACTGCTTGATGGAAGGTGAAAAGCCCTGGTCAGTGCTGGTATTTTGGTTCACTGTTCATCAGAAGAGTCTCTTATGACTGCTCAGGCAGCTGCAACCTGGAATGGTGTGTGGAACACTTCTTGCCACTTCCTGTTTCCTTATGCTTTTCTTACCCAGGCCTTGTAGTCATCTTTTTGCTCTGCAAAGTGACTGCAGTCCCTAAAATTACTGTAAATTTTATCAAAGTATAGTGCTGCCGGAGGTTAACAAAACAGAACTGTACAGACAGCCACCAAACTAAGAATGGACGCTTGTTCAGGGAGATAAAGACAATTTTAAAAAAGAAGTAGTGTTAACACATAGCTCTGAATAGCAAGGGCTTCTTAGCTCTCTTCTGACTGGCTTAGTGGGGCCTCTTTCAGCTAGTTAAGATGCTGCTGAGGGATGTCTCGGCATCTCGTGAAGCCATTAGTGAGCTCCTTTTCTTCTCTCTACACTGCATAAGAGCTGGGTGCTATTTCGATTGGTTCGTTTTTCTGCATACAACGTGAAAAAAAATACACTGTTTTGTATTCCAGTGGGATTAGTACCAAAAGGTGTATTAAAGTTGTATTACTGTTCATATTCGATCACCTGTTTTCAGTTGCTTGTAATTTTTTGGAAGCCACTTTTTAGCCTGACATTTCCCAGGCTCAGAATCTGCCTGAGGTACATTCTGTATAAACATTAAGTAAAAATGTTTTGACAACGTTTTTTTGCCATAAGAAGAGCAGGAGAGAAATGTAATTCTTTGAGAGGATAGGGGGATGATTTTTAAAAAACTCGCACCATTATCATAGCTGAAATATGGAGCTGAATGTTGAAATTGAACATGAACATGAACCTTAATTGAGGAGAAATGCCTTAAAGTATTTTGGATAAAATTGTTTTGTCGACTAAGCTGTTTTCTAGCTGAACTGGAAATTGACTGGATACAGAAATAGGTGAAATTTTACAGCTTGTGTTACTCAAGAGGTCAGATAAGACAGTTGTAATAGTTCCTTCTGGCCTTAAAGTGTATGAATCTGCAAGCTTTTAAAAATTGCATGCTAAGGCATTTGTGCTGCACTTTATGCAAGTTTTGTTCTTAATTCCTCGATAGTGCAGTAAAGGTATCCAAACTAACATAGTCGTGGTGAAAAGTGGTCTTCTGCTGAGCATGGGCTGAGGCAAAGGCATGCCAGAAACCCTTCGTTACCACATAAGCTGACTTCAGCATCTATATAGCAGTTGGGTCAGGTTGCTACATATGTTTTAAAGATGTGTAGGAGGAGTTGTTTTGCAGCAGAGGAAAACATAATATGCCTTTTATTACTAAGGGTGTTATCCAGAACATGTCTTCAAATGATTTATCCAGGACAGAAGATGGATAAATGATGTGTTAACTGGTAGGCCAAAGGGGCTCTGCTCAAATCAGGAGGGCTCTTTGGAGCTTTCTCTTCATACAGAAAAGCCTTGAAAAGTAGGATATGTAGTTTTCTCTTTGGTTTTAAGGCCCTCGGGAGAGATTCCTTTTAAAAAACAATAGCGTGGCTGAGACCCAAAGTTTGGAAGCGTTTAAGTTAATGTTGCTTGAACAACAGTGGTACAGGTTCTTTGGAGCTTTGGATTGTATTATAGTCTACAATTCCATAATCAAATATTGTTTCTCAAATAATGCAATATTAGAACGTGCAGCCTCTCTTGCTGAAGCTTAGACACGTATCTTGTAGGTCTCTGTACCGCTCTATATAAGAAGCGGTTCATAAATCTCAATATAAAAGTCTAGTACATGCTTTTTTTTTTAAAGGGGTATATAAGTGTCACACTGTAGAATATCTAATATAGGCATTTGTAGATCTTTGAAATTAGCAGGTAATTTAGCTTTGTGGTGAACTGAATCTATTCCCAAGTGACATTTAAGATGCCTGTGCTGCTGAATAAACAGAAAGTATATAGTAGATGAATGTTGACAATGTATTAAAATGCATAACTTTAATAAGACAGGAACTTGCATAAAGAGTCAAGACCGGTGAGGAAGTACTGGGACAGTGTACCATTGAAATTGCTATATAAATAACCTACAGGGGTTTAAATGAATTTTAAAGAAATCAAGACATTGTATTGTTTGAGAAAGCGTGTGTGTGTTTACTCAAGTGTATCACGGCACGCACAAGGGGGCAGAGTTAGTTTCGCATGTACAATTAGCTCTAGTGTACCGTGTCTTCTGGTTACATAGCTGCATAACTGTAATATTTCTTGAACACAGATTTATTTTGTACGTAGTTCTTGCCTTTTTACTGCTAGTTCTGAGCCTTTCTGTTGTATAGGTATGTTTCTAGGGGGCTATCATATAAAAGACTATGTAGCAAAAATGCTAGAAAGGTAACTGATAAAAGAATTTATTATATGTAAATATTTTGTCTCTGGAGCTGTAATTCTTGTGTCATCTCTCCAAATCTCTTCTGTCCCTATTGAGATTTGCAGATTGGATACACAGAATAGGAATTGATCTGCAGCATGAAAATAAGTGGTATATGAGCCATTCCTTGTCACACTTGCAGTGTGAAAGTAACTAGTATTAAGCTTGGGTTTGATAATAGCAAAAATATTATACAGGAGTACAATATTTTTTCTAAATTATGTGGTAAAATGATTGTCGGTGATGTTGCAAATTGTGTTGCTAATGGTCTCGTGATACACGTTAGTAAGGAAATTATATGGAAATTGTTATTTATTTGTTCTATTCACTTTAACTTATGTTGCTGTAATTTGAAATGGTCCTTTTTTTTGCCTCATAGGAGGAAGTTTAGTGTGGTGCACAGCATTTTTTTGTTGTTTTTGTTACATCTCCTGAAGATTTAGAGAAGCATAAATGTCTTGATTTCATAAGGAAAATGAACTTTTCTTTGTGTCACATGGAAAATCTGAACTGTTTTTATAAGAAGAATCTTTTTAGCCGGAAATGATTAATAGTAGCTGTTATGTTTTGTTGAATTGGTCTCCAAATGCTTCTGTTATTTTTATAAACTGTCCTGGCTAGTGAATGACTAGAGACGAAAACAAACAAATGTGTGTTCTATGTTCATAGGTGACAACCACATTTGAGAACTTACATAATTACACTTTTTTTCTTCTTGTCACTTGCAGGCAGAAATCGTCAAAAGGCTGAATGCTATATGTGCACAAGTCATTCCTTTCCTATCCCAAGAGGTAAGGTAGTGGTTTGTGCTGGTACTGATCTAAGCAATTGCCTTATCATATCTGCTACAAAAGTGGGACTATGTGTTGAGACTGTTTCGTTATGAATCTCTTGGTGCTTGTAGATGACTTCCACTGTGCTGTTCTCATTGTAACTTCATTATCTTCTCCAAATCCATTATAATATCATTTAAATATATTTCTGTAATGGAGTGTGTTGTAACGTGCAAAACAATTTTAGTTGTTTAAATATTTTGCTCTCATGTGTAAATGTGGTGTTGCTCAGAATTGTGATGTTGTCAATCTGGCATAAGAGACAGCTTGCAAAAAGGCTAGAAGGGCATGATTTGTGCTATATCCTTGTCAGTGGGCTTTAAAGTTCAGCAGAAACTTTTACGTTGGTCTGTTGAGTAGTGATGCTCAACACAATAGACATACTAATGCAGCCTTTTTTTTGGCCTTTTTTTCTTCTCCCCCTCCCAGCTTACTTATTACTTTAAATCCTTTTGTATTTCCGGTGCGTTTGGGGAATACAGACAGAAGATTAAAACTCTCTGTGAGCTAACTTCTCAAACCACTAATTTTCTCAAAATTATGATTTTCAGTTATTATCTTCAGTTCATTGTAGATATTTTGAGGGGAACTGGGATTTGGGAAAGTTAGTTTGTGCTAGTGAGGGAGCCTTTGCACAGGCATGTGCGAAGTAGAATGACAGCGTGGTCATGAAAGGAGGCTTGAGGGGCGCAGCAGCTTCCCTACCTCACTGGAAGGAAGGGTTTGGAAAGTGGGGGCTGTTGATGCCATGCTGGCATGCACCTATGTACCGTGTATTTTCATTTCAGTAGAATCAGTAGTCAAGAAATCTAAGCTGTATTTCTTTGTAGTGCATCTGTAAAACATTGTGTCCGTGGCTGAGAATATGCCAGGACTCCTCCTCCTACCTTTTCATTTATTCCGTAAAGTGTCATTGCTTTGCAATAGAGCTGTTCATCCTGCTCTGTACCAGAGGTCACGTGTGATATCACCATTCAGCTAATGCTCTGGATGTGCATATGTGTGTGTCTATGTGTGAAACAATGAGGATAACGCTACCAAAGCTAGAACTTGACATTGTTCGCAAATGCTGTGGCACTCTTAGTTACAATGATGAACTTGTGTAAGCTAAATGGTGTGTAACGATCTTTTCCATGCATCTCCAGCTACCTTGCTGGAGGACTGGAATTCAAGTCCTGCCCGAGTCTAAAATGAAAATGTGTTGCTTTTGTACTTTAACTGCTACAGAAACATAATACCTCTAGTCAGTGGTGGTTTTTGTTGTTGTTCGGGAATAACACAGCATATAAAAATGAGGTGTAAACTGATTCATACTCATGCTAAAATGAGCACTAAAGGACACAGTTTTGAAACAAAGGCAGAGGTGAATACTTGGCAGGAAAAGCTATGATCTTAGCAAAGGCATAGCATTGGCACTTCCGTGACAGTGACATCTTCTCTAGAGTATGTGGTGCAGTATTTAGAAACTTTGTACCAGTTTGCTAGTTCTCATAGTGATATTACTATTTTTAGCTGAAATCCTACAGAAGTCTTCATTTCAATACACAAATCAAATTATTCTGTTTTTTGTACTTCCACAAACCTAGCCCATGTTTTCTCTTAAGGTAGGTATGTCTCTTGCCAGTTAGACAAGCAAAAGGGGGGCGGGGGGTACATGAGCTTAGGATACATTTGAAGGAAAAATGTTTTGGTTACAATGCCTGGCAGTTTTGGTCTTTGATTTTGAAAATCTTAACCTCCACCCTCTCTAGGTGCTCATGTGGAATTACAAAAGAGAAGGCAGTAGGTTTTGGGGGTTTTACTTTTAGTAGTGTCTGACTCAGATGAGCACAGATTCTCTCCTTTTTCTCTACTCCATATGCATTGTGCTCTCCTCTCCCTGGAGCTAAATGACCCTGGAGTCGTTTTGAAAGCTAATATTGGTACATTTTAAGTGCCTGCACTGAAGGCAGGAGGCATTGTGAAGGCTGCACTTTTATTTCTTAATATTTCTTCAGTCAGGGAGAATCTCTCTTGTGGGGTTCACATACAAAAACTAGTGAACTATGAGCCAAGGGCCCTGATTGTTGTTTAACAGCCTCCTAGCCATGAAGCTAGCCATGGGGAGCAATTTAAAAATAATTATGAACTTAACCTTTGCAGTAGATCTTCATTAATATGCTTATTTTAAGAACTGCGTAGGTAGACAGCTGAGATGGTCCAGATGGTAAATTTACAAAATGATGATGCCCCGCTTCTGTTGTGGGTACAGTACTACCCAGGGAGGGCTTAGGCACACTGAAGTCAGCCCGCTTTATGGCTGCTGTTTACTTTGTTAGGTTTTTAGATCAGACCTTTGAGTTAAGCAGTTTTAGATCTGAAAACAAGCTCTTGTATGATTTCTGTGCTACTGGGTCTCTGCTTTCTAAAACCTTGGCCCCCGAAGTTTCCTTCACCTGTTCACACATCTCATTCTTTTACATTTACCAAGCGTTACAGCTTCTTCTGTGTGCATGATCTCATAGCGTCAGAGCTCCTCAGGCTACAAAGGAAATGGAGAACTGAGAAAAAGTTCATATCTTCAGCATTTTTACATACATTTTCAAAGAGAAAAGGGAACATTTCCAAAAAATAAGTGTACGCATTTGTCTTGCTTGGAGGCAAGTGTGTTTTTCAGCTCATCTAGCAAGAGGGGAAAGGGGGTAGATGGGAAAGAGAGTTTGAAAGAGGAAACACAAAAAAACCTTTTGAAATGTCTTAGCAGTGCCGCTGATTATGGTAGTTTTCATATTGAGGTTAAGAAAATTGTGGTAATTGTATGGCCTCTATTAGTAGTTACATTTATTTAAATCAGGTTATATTGGTATATGCTGATGAGGCAAAAGAGAACTTATCTCCAGTTTTGACTATTCTGCTAGACTTGGTTTCTGTTTAATTTCTGTCTTTAAAAAGTCTTAATGGAAGCCTCTTTATTTCATCATCTAGATTAACAAAGTTGCAGTGTGCTCTTGTAATTGCGGTGTGCTTTTACTGTTTATGCATTTTGCATACAGTCTAATTGTGGAATAGCGGCTGAAAAATGTGATCAGACTGCTTTGTATTGTGCCTGAGGGAAAAAATGAACAAAATCCAGTGGTTACATGCACTGATGGCAACATTATTGCCTCATAATAGCACCAGGTTAGCTTGTCTTATTGCTTGTTATCTTTGTAAGAAATCAATAGCTTGTGATAACTCACTCAGAAGTAAGAAATTGTGGCCAAAATCACTTGAGATCTCATGAAAAGGATGCAATTATAATCTGTCACCATATACTACATGCTTTGTTTCAGGGGCAGTTCAATAAAGTATTCATAAAGTTCTCTACATGCAAGGTTTCAGTCAATATTATTGTGCTCTCCATTACCAAAGTTTACGTTGAAAATAAAGTTTCTAACCTGTCCAAATGCACACTTAAACAATACCTTGTTGAGGAATGGGCACCACTTGTATTTCTATACAAGCTTCCTATTTTGATACGAAGGAATGACTTTGTGGTCAAGGCATGAAATGGACCTTGGGGTCAACCTGTGTTTGATTTCTGCCACTTTTACAGACTTCCTGTGTTGCAACAGTTGCTTTCCCCCTCTGTGCGATGTTTTGAGGTATCAGTGTGCTTGAGGTACTTCCTATTGTGTAAGGGGGGTGGGGGGAGTCTACAGGTGTATGGGTAATTACTTGGAGGTTGTTAGCACTCAGTTAACTTAGTTTTGGTCTACTGCAACTGGTATAGATAGCATAATAACATATACAACTGGTATAGATACAGAGGGTTCACACTGTCTAATGATCTAGGCAGTGAGACATAATTCAGTCTGGGTCTAATGCTGTAGATTATGCTTCTGCTAATTTTTCTAATCTCAGCTGAGTTTATCAGCTGCAGCACAATGTGGTAGTCTTACAACCCTGCAGTGTTTGAGTGAGGCTTAACCCTGCCTGGCCAATGTGATATGCGTGAGTGGGTGCAACCTTTGGCTATCATTGTTTGACCCTCCTGGTGTGCTTTGAGTGCCAAAAGACCTTAGGTACCTCATGTGCTGGGCGGTCATGTTTGTTTAGTGTGACCAGAGATGTTCATATATCACGATTACCTTCATTTTGGTAAATATTGACTGTATTTATACTCATGCAGACACACACAAGCTGGCTGATTTACAACTAACAACGTAGTTGTGGCAACGCAGAGCTCAGCACAAACTGCAGAAGCTGCTCAAGAAGCCAGATAAATGTGGGGTCATTCCCCGTCAACTTTCATGGCCCACTGTCAGCAGTATTTGGCAGGCCAGAGGAGTCTACAAGAAACTTCTGAAGGTGCATGGTCCCCTTCAGCTGCCAGTGCACCATCAAAAAACAAGCTAGAAAGCTTGCTCTTTAAGAGGGAACTTCAGGTCCTCATGCAAAATAAGGTGGTCAAAATGTACTTAGAAGTACCATAAGATGTCTAACACATGCACATGTGCACGTGCCCCCTCCCCGCCACAACAGGAAATACTTCTGTTACCATTAACAGTTCAGGCTTTTCCTGCAAAACACCTAATATTAGTGGATGGTTTCCCTTGTGCAAGATAAATATGGACCATAACGCATTTTCTCTTCTGTGTATATGCGTTCCCTAAACATGCTTGTAAAGTTCAGTGACTTTGGATGAAGGATATGAGATCTGTTATATAGAAGCAGAGCACAAATCATTCCACATTGTTCAAAGGAAGCATTTATTGGTCTAATATGTGAGAGGCAGAAAAGCCCCCCCCCCCCCCCCCCCCCCGA